GTGTGTTGTTTGTGAATTTGTCTTTGGTGAGCAGACTGGTTTGTTTAGCTGTCTATTTTCTTGATGAGTTTACCAGTTCTTCAGTGTATCCCGGGCCCCCTGGTTGTATGTATAGATATCTCTGCATCTCCCGCACATCCTGTGTTTTCTTCTGCATCAGCGTTTGCGTTTGTGTGCATGTGTAAGCTTGCCGTGCTTCGGCAGTGCAGTCTCTTAGCAACAGTCCTCCTGGGAGTCAGGGACGCGCCTCTGCCCCTAATTGTTCTCTGGGGTGATGCAGCAGCAGTTTGCAGCCTCGCTCTCCAAGTCGTCTCCACCGTCCTCAGATACTCAAACTCAGAGCCTGGGCCTGTTTCAGACCCCGACCTGCATGGAGGCTGACGTTTCCCGCACGTTTCCCGCAATCTAAAGTACCGAGGCTTCTTAATAATAGCGGGAACGGTGTCACAATGACGACTTTCTCAGGAATTGTGTATCACTTGTTTTTTATTCAGCATGAACATAAAATCGCATGTGACATACAGTTGGAGTATCGAAGGATGCATTCCTGAAGGTTTGGTCTGTATTGCTGAAATTGTAACACCGGTATGTTTCTATCGGTGGGTACTGAGTACATGCCGAGTCCCTGCAGGCACTAACCGAAGCTCGGTTTACAAACCACATGCTCCCTGAATGACTGGTGCTCATTAGCCTGGGGTCTGCTTGACCCCGACCAGCCAATCCACGGGGTGCAGGTCCTTTTGTGGGGGCTGTTGGGACACCAAAGTCTGGTTAAAACGCTGTATGTAGAGGGTGGCTGTAGTCATGGCAGAGGCTATGGTGGAGCCCCACTCGGGGGGGGGGGGCTGGGGTTGGGGAACGGGCTCCTGGGAGGGAGCTGAGAGAGCAGGTGACGACGCCAGGGGAGGAGTCTTCCTGAAATATCGCTTGGTCCATTTCACCTCCGCGTTCTGCCAGAGCTCGCCACATCCTCTCCCCACCTCAGAACCGGACCTAAGCGTTGGCGCTCCAGTCGGTTGGGAATCGGGCCTGTGGCGGGTGGCTTCCTTGTGGTCTTCCGTGGGGGTTTGACTGGAGTTCGGGCTCCAGCATGACAGAGTACTTGCTCCTCATCCTCTATTTCTCTTCCTTCATCTGCCTGTGTGCGCTGGTGTGCCTGTACTTCTCGGGCTGTCAGGAGATGACCTACAAGCACGATGGTAAGGGCGTCCCGCTCCATCTGCCTGGGCTGCTGTCCGCTAAGGATTCCTTCTTTGGAAAGGGGTCTGTTAGGTATACATGTTTTTATTCAGTGAATTTGAAGTTTTCTATATTAAACAAAGCTTTGGTCCTCTTCCATTGACCAAGGAACAGGTGTGATGTCGCAACAATGTTCCCACCCCTCAGTGGTTGCCGTGTTTTGCTCCCGGTGTCGGTTTAACTCGAACCCTGCATCTCCGCTGCTGTTGGCTGGTGACGTGCCGTCATTTCAGCCCCGAGTCGTCCTTTGCTTGTCGGGTTTGTTTGATTGTGTGAGCACTCAGTGAGTTAGCCTGCCAAAAGGCATTGGGCAAATCCCAACTGCAAGAAAATTACACATTGATCCCCTTGGAAACTTGGAGAAGGAGAGGTTTGTTTAAGCAGTAAAATTTGCACAGCTGATCTGTATTTTTAATGGTTGTTGGGTTAGTAGAGGATTCTGTCCTGTGGGGCAGTACATAGGAGAATAGCTGTGGTTGCCTTTTTTAATGAGAACGTCAGCTTGTAAGATGTATAGGGTAGAGTCAGATGTGCAAATGTCATCTGTTATGGAGTCAGACTCTGAATCATACTCTGAATCAGACTCTGGTTTTTATTGGAATTCATCTCCCAAAGCTGGATGTAAAATGACATTGGAGGCTTTGAGGCTCTCGGCTGAGAGCTGTGATGTTTCACTGTAACCAAGGTACTCAAGGGTTTGCTGGCTGACTGAAATCCCATGGTATGTGTCTGTGTATGTGTGTATCTGTGTGTGTGTGTATGTGTGTCTACATTGTGATAAAAACCTGTTATTTTGACAACCGTAAAATTCAAATTTTATAAAAATTTTTATAAAAATCCATGCCTGCTATCAAAAAACTACAAATGCCAAAAGACTTGTATTTTGTTTGGTTGCTTATGGTTAAGGTTAAGACTGAGTAGTTGTTAAGGTTGTCATTGTTGGGAATAGGATTAGGCCCATAGAAATGAATGGACAGTCCTCGAAGATACCATAAGATACCTGTCTTTTTCAATATGCGTTAGATTTGCCTAGTGGTGAAGCATTCTGGTCGCTGCTTAAATCAGTGTTTAAAAGCTTCTGTGCAAGCAAAGGTATGATCCAGGATTGCATAGAAGTACCAGGCATTAGGTATGAAAAAGGCTGAGCCAGATCACCCAACTGCAATTGGCATAGTGCCATTATGTGTGTTAGAGTCTACCTACTGGTTTCCAGTTAGCAGAATTACTGGGAACCATCAGGAGAATCAATCCCAAACTGCTGAAATGAACTGACATTTTTTGCTTAGTTAGCAGTGTTGGAAAACAGATTGATTTGTTGAATATGGCAGAATGGGAACAAGTGCTTACAGTATGTGAGGTATTTTGTAGGAGCTGTTGTTCCTCGGTGGAGGTGACTGACTGGGTCGGTCCCCGATTTGAGCACCAGCCCATCACTTCTCCGACTGGCACAGCTGGCATGTTTCTGATTTAGGTTCCTGACCGGTGAATACATTTCTGATCGGCTCCTGTAACCATGCTGTAACCTTGTCCTACAGAGGCATGTTGTGGAGACATATTTTGGATTTGACGAAGAGTCTGTGGATTCGGAGACCTCGTCCTTGACGTCCTACACCACGGATCGAACGGACAGGACTCCAGCCACCCCTGAGGAGGATCTGGAGGAGGTGAGCCGGGCGTGATTCCATTGCAGGCTAAGGGTGCTTCAGAAGACATTGTCACCACCATAGGGGGGAGGGGCTAAAGAATGTTTCCAGTTTGTGACCACCATCATTGACATGTAATCATTTTCATTTAGGAATGTTTTTTTTTTTTTTTATTCTTTATGGGGAAAATCACCTTTAAGGTACTGGTTACAATTGTGCTTAATTACATTTAGACTGGTTGTTAGGTCGTATGGCAACTTCAGAGAAATAACTTAGGCAGCATAGTGTTTTTTGAATTGTGGATAGTTTTTTTTCATACATTTTGATTGGCTAATTGGAATTTGGTGTCATTTGGGTAATGATCAAGATGCTGATGTGATGATACTCGCGTGTCCTGCCAGGGGATTTCGCGTGAGGAGTCAGAGCTGCGGTTCCGTCAGCTGACCCGGGAGTACCAGGCTCTACAGCGAGCCTACGCCCTACTCCAGGAGCAGGTTGGGGGAACCCTGGATGCTGAGCGTGAAGCCCGGGTGAGACAGGAGGCAGGCGGGGCTGAGGCTACCACCAAGGGTTCACTTGCTTATTTAAAGAACACATTGCATCTGATAAAAGCAATCCTACATACTGTATTTGCTCTGCTGAAGCATTAAAAATACCCTAGAAAAATCCTTGATAGTGATGGTCAGTCAAAGCTTCATGAACCATTTGCTGTATTTTCTGACCCCACTAGGTGGTGCTCTTGGTTTATTTTGGGGCATGCTTTGAGTCTGTTTTTGAAGAGAGACCGCCATCTAGTGGAGTTAGAAAATACAGCAAGTGGTTCACGAAGCTTTGTTTGACCATTACTCATCCCTGCCATAAATTAGTCTTGATTTTTGAGTGGATGTCTAGAGCTCCTGTTAAGCCTTCCTCATGGCAGGACAGCTTCATCTGGTATAGTGCAGTATCCATGGAACATCAAAGTGCTGCAGTTAAGCTGGCTATCCAAAGATAGGTTTGAGGAGCTCCCATATAGGGTTAGCTATAGTCAGAATTTCTGGCCCACGGTTGGCCAGCTGTAGGGTTGCTATTCTGGTCATCTTCTTGTGCATTACATCTGTGAAATCTGTGACCATGATCACCTGGACTTTCAGATGTCCATCAAACAGTGTGCTCTGCAGTCCAGCTGTCTCGCACGACTAAGCAGAATCCGTGCCGTTTTCAGACACGGGAGCAACTGCAGGCGGATCTGGTTCGGTGCCAGGCGAAGATCGACGACCTGGAGAAGTCCCTGGTGGAGCGGGGGCAGGTAAATGGAAAAGGGGGCTGGGACGCTCGGGTGCTGAGCCGCCTCCTGGTGACCTTCCTCTGCCTCTTCCTCGCCGCCGTGTGCGTGGCTTGGATCTGCCGGCGTGTCCTGTGACATCACCGCAGCGCCCAGGCCGCACCTGTGGGGCAGAGCCTGGAGGTTTCCTCATGGATCATGCTATTAATGGAGCTGCCAGTTAATTGCTGCTCATCACTGGCATAGTGGCTGAGCTTGCTGCAGTGCCCCCATCAGGGGTTTGCAGTAATAGGCGGGGTGATGATCGTTTTGTTCCTACAGTGAAAGCCTTAATTGCACCACCAGCATATGTGTCACTGCCTCTGGTGTGAGGGTCCCTGTGCCTCATTGCTGGACTGCCTCTGGTGTGAGGGTTCCTGTGCCTCATTGCTGGACTGCCTCTGTGTCCATGGCTTGCTTTCTCTTTATGGAAATGATTTCTGTTAAGCCAGGTGACGGGCTCATCTTTGCACTACTCACTTTGGCTCAATAAAACTCAACTGCAGCCATTTCTCTCACTCTCTGCTTATGTGTCTTCATTCCATGCTCTGTGTCACGTACATCCTGTCCTTTACATTAATCCTAGGTGAATGACAAGTGATTTGAACAGATAAAAGCTCATTAGCCTGACATGGTATACTCCAGTATGTCTTTCCTGGGCTGTGACGCACTTTAAGTGGATCGTGTGAAACGGTGTTTGATTAGTAATGTCTGTGTTATGCTCTCATCACAGGATTCCAAGTGGGTGGAGGAAAAGCAGTACCTCATCAAAACTAACCAGGAGCTCTTGGAGAAGGTAGCTTCCTTATCGTTATGTCTGATTAGGGGTCCAGTGTGGATGAGTACATATTGGTCCAATTGGTGTGTGTGTGTGTGTGTGTGTGTGTGTGTGTGTGTGTGTGTGTGTAAAAGGCTTTCACAGAATGAGTAGCGATCCTTGTGCGTGATCTAAACCCCAGCGTCACACACCTGACTCCTATGTAGGTGGAATTGTCCATTCATTTCACTTTCACTATGACTCTGAAAGCCACAGGTCAAACATCACTGTCACTATCAGTGTCGGCATTAGCACATTGTACAGCTGGGACCTGTGTATCTTACCCCGACCAGCCAGTCATTAGTGTGCACTGAATAGTTTGTTTATTATGCAAACGCTTCTTCTACTGTTACGTCCCGATCTAGGGACGGGGCATGAACAGCGGTAAGGGTCGGGAAAATAACGGGGAGTCGGGAGTTAGAGGACAAGGAGGTCGGGGAATAATTAACACCCAAGGCGTTGGTGGTAACAGAAAATATGTGTATTTGGGGAAAAGGTGAGCTTCAGGAGTGACACCGGCCAAAACAATAAACAAAACCAAGTGAACTAGCTACCCGCGTACCGACCGTAACTTCCTTAACCCCAAAGAAAAATAAAACAAAAGACAAAAGCTATCCTAACCCCCTCTAACCACAAAACAGGGACTAAAACGCTGTACACACAGAAAAATAAATGCCAGTCACTCTCTACAACCCTTACACCCATACACACACACAGATATATATATATATATGGCGTCTTTTATAATCCGGGGCTGGAGAGGCGGGAAACGGGAAGGAGGCGATGACAACCAGCCCATCCAGTTTTGGCACGGCTTTCGTGGTGAGATGGAACCGGAATCAGCAGTTTGACGGAATGGGATCTAAAGGAGAGAAGGACTGGACACACACATATGGACGTAAAACTACAAACACATTACATTCCAAACATACTCTGAAGGCTTTATGAGTTCATTTTTTTAACATCTGTTGACTGGACTTGAGAGTAAATTCCTTTTTCCAGCAACACGTGTGAATTCAGTTCATGGGCATTTTTCTGCAGTCATGTCCCTACATTTGTAGTGGTTCCTGGATCCACCAGATCTCTGCTGTCTTGGTCACTCTCAGTAGTCTAAAAGTACAACAGGCAGTTCTTAATCCGTGTTTGGGTTATGGTTTTTAGCGGTGCTCTCTTCTGGTTTTCACCACCATCCTGTCTCTCCCTGGCGTCCTGCAGATCAGCAAGCTGGAGCTGGACGAGGGTAGTCTGAGGACGGAGGTGCAGGACGCACGGGACCAGAACGAACTGTTAGAGTTCCGAGTCCTGGAGCTGGAAGTAAGAGAGTCTCTCCCCATCCCCAAACTGTCACCAGGGGGCGACATTGGGTTCCAATCCAAACTCAGAACCTACATCCAGTGACGGACCCGAGTGGAACCGCATGCACACTCCTGTTCCTCGGTCGTTGTAATAATTCCATATGTGTGTGTTTTTGTCTTGTTATTAAACTGTACAAACTGTTAATATTCCACATGTCTGTTCAGATTTTTGTCTTCTTAATTTGAAAGATGTACATTTTTATTATGGACTGAGCTCGTTTCATTTGAATAAAATATCTATCCAATTAACTTCCATCATTCATTTTTGTCTTTTTTCCCGCATGCAGTTTTCTTTGTTTCCTGTACATATCTGTGTTATATCCAGCCCCATCCACATAGAGTCAATGTCAATTTAATTAACTATAGAGGCACAATCAGTAACTAAAGGTCTAACGGTGTTGATCAATGGACTTTATTTGTGTCTCCTTCAGCTAACGCTGTAATTATCATTTGCCGTTAGTTTAGTTTTAAACCAAAGTAACATGCAGTTCATTGTTCCTCTTTACCTGGTTTCATAACTTGTGTTTAATGTCGTTGTCATCTTTCGTTTAATATCTCTAAAGAAAGTGAATTACAAAATCTGCTAACTGCGAGTGATGCTCATAAACAATCAACTATACAAAAAGATTGCTCATTCTGTGCTCATTGGTGGTTGTCATAGCAACATTCTCTGCTTTCATTTTCAGGACCCATTTAGTTTCAGTTTACCGTTTCGTTCTCATACTTAAAGTTGCCCTCCGTTCCGTTGGCTTGCCACCCATCCCATAAAATTTCCCCCCGCCCAGTTCACTTTCACTGATCCTTCTCATTCTCAGTCATGTAAGTACTTTTTTGAGTTTGATTATATGGCTGTTCAAACACAAACTAACACAATCTTTATTTGTGTCCCTGCTTTAAACGTCACCCCATGTCCAGTAACCTGTAACGACAAAGTGTGGCTGCAGTTCTCCAGGTAACCAGATGTGGCAGTGTTGCTGGTTGTTAACTTTGGAACTCTCTTTTCGCCTGCAGGAACGGGAGCGCCGGTCTCCGGCATTCAATCTGCACGTGGCTGCTTTCTCTGAAGGCAACAGCAGTGCTCTACAGCTGCATTGCCACCATGAGGGCATCAAGGTAGGACAGGAGAGCTTCTGTGTTACCTGCAGCTGCCACAAACAGATTCCACACGGGAGACGTGCTAGCAAAAAAATTTTAACAAACCAAACTCAGCTTCCTCATCTCGCTTGTCTCTGACTATTTCTGAGGAATGTTCAAGAAGTTTTTTTTTTTTGTTTGTTGCTTTTTTTTTAGGATGTTGTCATACCAGACCTCATAAAAAAACTCGACATACTTGGTGATAACGGGGTAAGAGTCCTTCCCAGCAACACCTACCTGTTAGACATTCCTCATGACGGTCTCTGTGGTTCTGTGGTAACCACCATGACCCCCAGCGCTGAGGCAGCATGTGAAACCTGAGCAGTATGACTGTCGTTAGATGTTCACGCCCCGGTGTTTCTCAATGCTTCCTCTAGAACCTGCGGAATGAGGAGCAGGTGATTGTGATCCAGGCCGGGACAGTGCTGTCACTCTGTGAAAAGGTAGCCCTGTGCCCCTCCCCAACCCCCCCCATTCTCTGAGAATCCCACCCCCAGATTTAGTTTAATTAGGGTCTTGCTTTAACTCCATCCATGTTTTCTGGTTTCTTATTTGTGACAGTGTGTGTGAAATTTGTTTACACCTCATGGAGACAAAACCTACCCATACAGTGCATGTTCCTCATTACATCGATGCTAATTTAATTTTAAACCTTGATAGTTAAGTTTTTACTCATTAGAACCATGGGCCGGTTTTGGATATACTGAAAATTGCTTCTTAAAATGAGTTTTTACATTTTGGAATTTTTCTTCTTTAGTCTGAAAATATTAGAAGCTCCAAGTAATCACTGAAGCACGATTAGCCTCCTTGCAATGTTGTGCTTATTGTTTTCTTATTTTATATTTTCTTAGCAGAATATTTAATATTCATTATATACAGTGCTGCTTGAAAGTTGTTGAACTTTTCGTGTCCAATGTCACAAGTCTGTGAGTGGCAAAAGTATGTGAACCTGGCAGGTAATTTGAAGGCGAGATTAGAGTCAGGTGTTGTCAGTCAATGTGATGACAATCAGGTGTGAATGGGTGCCTTGATTATGTTAAAAGAACGGGGTTTTATCAAAAGCTTCATCTTCGAACATGTTTGCGCAGTATCAGCGTATAATGGCACAGTTAAAGGACATTTCAGAGGATGTCAGAAAAAGAACTGTTGATGCTTATGGTGCTGGGAAAGGCTACAAAACCATCCCTAAAGAATCAGGTCTGCACCAAACCACAGTCAGACAGACTGTGTACAAATGGATGAAGTTTAAGACTATTGTTATTCTCCCCAGGAGAGATTGATCAGTCCAAGGGCAAAGTATGTGATTGTCTGTGAGGTCCCAAAAGAACCAAGGGTAACTTCTAAACAACTAAAAGCCTCTCTCACAGTAGTTAATGTTGATGTTCATGAGTCCACTATCAGGAGAACATCAGGAGAACCGTGGTGTGCATGGCAGGGATGCAAGGAGAAAGCTGCTGCTTTCCAAGAAAACATTGATTCCCATCTACAGTTTGCTGAAGAGCATGTGGACAAGCCTGAAAGCTGTTGGAGGAATGTTTTATGGACATATGAGACCAAAATAGAACTGTGTCATATCTGAAAAAAGGAAAACACTGCATTCCAGCACGAGAACCTCATCCCATTTGTGAAACATGAAACATGGCAGTGATAGTGTCATGCTTTGGGCCTGTTTTGCTGCGTCTGGGCCAGAACAGCTTGCCATTGTGGAGTGGACAATGAATTCTGAATTATACCAGTAAATTCTAAAGGAAAATGTCAGGACATCTGTCTGTGGACGACATCTCAAGAGAACCTGGGTCATGCAGCAAGACAATGACTCCAAGCACGTAAGTCGTTCTACCAAAGACCAGTTGAAGAAGAATAAAATAAAGGTTTTGTATTGGAAGTCACAGTCCTGACCCAATGGAAATGTTGTGGAAGGACCTGAAGTGTGCAGTTCATTTGAGAAAACCCAGCAACATCCCTGAGCTGAGGCAGTTCTGATTGGCAGGATGGGCTAAAATTCCTCCAAGCCGATGTGTAGGACTGATGAAGACCTACTAGAAACTTTTAGTTGCACTTATTGCTGCAATAGGGGGTGACATCAAATACTGAAAGCGAAGATTTCCATACTTTTGCCACTCGCAGATTTGTGACATCGGATCATTTTCCTCGATAAATGAACGATCACGTATGTTATTTTTGCCTCGTTTGTTAAATTGTGTTCTCTTCACCAACTTCATGTGAAAATCTGATGACGTTTTAAGTCAAATTCATGCAGGAGTATGGAATATTCTGAAAGATTCACTGACTTTCAAGCAGCACTGTATAATTATTGAATGGTCTTTACATGGACCTCTAGACATCTTGCCACTGTAGTAAGCAATATCCTCGATTGATATTGTTACGGTACGGATGCTGTACTATTGCACTGACAATTACTGAAAAGAAGTAACATATAAAGGACACCACTATGTGAAAGGAGAAACTGAGCTCACTGTCGCTGCACGCACACTACCTTACAAGTAACAACATTAAACATTTTATCCTGCAACTACCTAAATACATTAAAGTTTCCCCATCAAAGCTTTCAAGGATCTAGAGCGGGATATTTATAGAGGTAGTTCTCGCTTTCCGAGCTTCCATTTATGAGTTAATATCTTTACAGAAATTTTCTGCAGCAAAAATGAAAACGTAATTTTTCATGTTTTTTTTTTTATTATTATTTGCGCGTAACTGATCACCCGCTGACCAAAAATGCTGTCCATGGCCCTACAAAGTTTTCAGATGACTGCTTTGAGAAATATCTGACTCTGCATGCCCGATTGATACTTTCACGTCAGCGCATGCGCAGCATTACACTACGATGGTGCCCAATTTGTACCACTTTGTTTCACGAACCCAACCTGATCCCGTTAATACACCAGGTTGATTTTACTTACTTTGTGAGCGATCTCCACCAGCTAAGAATGGAATATATGAAGAAAAAAACAGTGCTGAAACTGATTTGCTGAAAATCAGTGACCAAAACTCACTGTGAATGTTAGTTTTATTTTTTTGTTTTTCCCCAAGGATTTTTTTTAAATGTGAGTATATTTTTGATCAAATGTTAATTCTAATAACACTGTTGTGTTTCCTTTGTTTATTTGGCAAAATTTATATGAAAAGTCACCTTTTTATAACATCTCTATGGGATAATACGTCCCAGGTTACGAGTTCTCGATTAACCAGAGATGATTCGAAACAAATTAGCATGTCAAGTCGAGAAATAGTTGTATAAATACTGTTCCTGACAATAATCTTAACCAATACCCTGCGAAAGACCAAATCACAAGGAGATTAGGTGGTTAGTGTAGCAACTCAACTAAGTTTAATTGTATTTAATACAATTACGGACATAAGAGATCTGGAATATCTGATTTTTGATAGGCTTATTAAACAACTTTTATATACTCAAATTTAAACAAATTGTTAGCACTAAATCCGGCCTTTTATCTAAATATCTAAGCATTATCTAAGTATATACATCTAATTTATTCCCCTGAATATTAACTCAATAAATTAGAATTGCTTTTAGTTAATGTTCTCCTGTTATTCCTTAGTGTTCTCCTGACACCTAGTGGAGAAAGTGTAGAATGAAAACATTTCCGCTGCAATAGATTTTTTCCTTTTTGAGAGGCTTTACGGCAGAAATTCTTACTGATTTCTTCTGCTCATGAAAACAAACACAAGGTTTTAAAATTAGTGCCGTGTTTCCAGCACGTGTGTTTATGTGTAATTATGTCATTCACCACCATTGAGTACAGGAAGATGGAGTAAGAGAGAACAAGCACGTCTGACCATCAGTGGGAAGACACACACACAAAGGGAGCAGCTGTGACACGGAGAGAACATGCACACTCCACACACACGGAACAGAGGGTGGTTTGGAGCCCCCACCCCTGGGGGTGTGACACAGGAGTGATACCCACCAAGACACTCTAGATTGTGCTAATCACTGAAGTACATAACCTGTTAAAGGTTAAATTAAAAGCTGATATTTGTAGTTGAACAGCAGTTTGTAGAAGGACATATTCACCAACCATCACTCCCAATTATATATTTTATCCCTTAAAATAATTTATCATTGCAAAGGGGGAAGTCGAGCACCTGTACTTCAGAAGGATGTCTCCTCTTGTTGGGGGGCCACGAGTCCTTCTCATCTCTCTTTCCTCCTCCCCCTCCTCCTATTACTGCTTCTGCCTCCTAGTGGTTGAAACAGATCGACAGCACGGAGGCCGCGCTGACACAGAAGATGATAGACCTGGAGAATGAGAAGGTGAGCCACATGGGGTGGGGGGGGGGGGGGGGCGACACAGTCAGAGCCTGCATGCTCCGCCCCTCATGCACCGAAGGCTGCATTCCAGTGTCCCTCCTTCTGACGTCTTTAAAGGTTTCCAGAAATTTGGTTAGCAGTGGTTATAAATTCCACTGGATGCGTCTCCCCGGTTTTAATAGTTAACTGAGTGTTTGCCCAGTCAGTGGAATCACTGGCTTCTCAACTTGTTATAAAGATGGGTCAGATTTTTTTTACTGTGAATTGGATCGCCCAGCCTACCTGAGGAGTTGTGTGTCTGGGTGAATGGGCCGGCGGGGGGGGGGCACCTATTCACCTGCAGAACCTTGTCACCTTTGCCGTCGCTCTGGCTGTTTCTTTTTGGTGAAACTGGGTTGGTGTGAGCAACTCTGAGTGTCTCAGATGAGCTGGAGCCTCCACACACCCACAGGTTAGTCACTGGCCTTGTCATTTCCTCCCAGGACTTGTTCAGCAAGCAGAAAGGCTACTTGGAAGAGGAGCTGGATTACCGGAAGCAGGCCCTGGATCAGGCCTCTATGGTAGGACCAGGCCACCCTACCAGCTCCTATGTGGGGGCGTTCTGGGACCAGGCCCCTAGGTCTGACCCAGGCCAACAGCGCCCCCTGGGGGATGAGGCAGATGGCACTGCTTTGCTACACCCTATCAAATGCTGCTCTGTGTGACATCTGGCCCCGATCATGTCGGTAATGGGAAGCAAGAGGCCAGCTCGTCTACTGTCTCCACTTCATGAACATAGTTTAGCCCGTTCCTCTTAAAAATGCTTCAAAATCTCAGCCTGTGGCGAGTGCTCTGGATTTTTAAATTTGAGGAAAAATGCCAAGTTGAAGATGTAAGATTCGAAGTCGCTCCTGAGTAAGACGGCTGACGGCCCTGTGTTCCCGTTACCGCTGGAAGGTGTAGGACAGCCTTAGATGGCCTGGTCATGCGTGCACCGCGTAGTAGTGAATGTGCCATGTATTCTGGGCACAGGATTTCAATGTGACCAACATCTAAGAGCAAAACAAAACATTGAATCAGTTCCCCAGTGAATCAATTTATCATTTTCTATATACAGTACATATATTTCTATTTATAAAGCGCATAATGATGTATTATAGAGTGTTGCTTACATACAATATATGAGCTAATTTGTAAGGGATACTGCATCTTTTACAAGAATCATGGATGAGTGATGAAGGGCGGTACCTCAGCCAAGCCTGGGGGCCTCAGCACACAGAGGTTCATCAAGCCTGCAATGATCTACTGCTATATTAAGGGTGGTGTCCATTGGCGGGGGAGACGGGGGGGGCAGTTAATATCTAACTTTGCTTGGGCTACAAAAGTCCTGAAGCTTGAAAGGACAAGTAGGAAGTAACAAGTGTGTATGTGGATCTGACACGTATAGTATGGTTTATGTAGCATATTTTGTGTCCTTTTGGGGATGGGGTGAGCGAATTTGGAGCTCTATGTGTTCACGTTTTGCAAATCTGCATCTTTATTTTTCAGTGTTGTTCTTTTTTTTTATTATTTCTGTTGCGATGTTGATCGTTTCTGTAATTTAAATCGCCGCAGAAAATCCAGGAGTTGGAGGCCACACTATATAATGCTCTGCAACAGGACCCTGAGAACAGAGTGGGTGAATCTTTGACAGAGAGGCAGAAGGAGGATCTGAGGATAGCGGTGGAGAGACTGAGGAGGCAGATTCAAAGGCAGAGCCGCGAGTTTGACAGTCAGATCTTGCAGGAACGCATGGAGCTGTTGCATCAGGCCCAACAGGTAAGTTGTGGAAGGAAGACAAAATTAAAAGATGCAGTATCCCGCCTGCCGGGGCGAACAAGAAGTAGGACCCCACGACTAAAAAATGGGTTTCCTCCATGGGACAATGTAGCTCAGCCCAAGCAGAGTACGACATGACGCACAGGACGGCACACTGGTGTTCACCAGTCTGCATCAGACAACCTGTAATCGCTCACCAGACAACCTCAAGTAGCATAAAGTTTCAGTATCGGAAGTAAAATACATACTTAAGGTTTCGGTTCACAGCAGGGGAGTTTCTAGCTGTTGGGACAAAATCAGAGGCTAAGCCAATTTTATCTGGGGCTTGACTTTGTTGTTTTTTTTTTTTGCAAGAACATTGGCACTGGGGCTAAAATACTCGGGGGTGTAGCCCCGGGTGATAAGACCTAACGATGCCCACAGTTCATATAAATCTTAAAAGCTCGATCATAGCAGTTTATGAGAATTTAGCACCGAAACATTTGCAGTAGAATTCTGGATCAATCTTTCACTTTCTGCTGATCGACATCTAACTATTTGTGGCTTACCTCCTCCGTAACCACACTATTAGATCAAACTAGTTTGGGTCCCCAGCATGTTTGACGCCAAGCTACTTGGATTTGTAACATATACGTTCACATGGTAGAATATGAAAACTTCAGCACAACAAAATAAATGCACTACTTACCTACAGTATAGTATGTTCACAGCTTTCAAATGAAATGTCATCTAAGATGTCATGCAGTGGGCAGATCTTACAAGACTGCTGTGGTATCGCATTATGGGCTGTTTATGAAGGTGTTTCTCTGCAGTCACATGATAGTTCTGTAAGAGGCTCTGTTTCGCAAAGCCGAGATTTGATCTGTCAGGCATCTTAAAACCTGGGAATGTTTTCCTGAGGTCGGCCTGCATCTTCCTGGCAATGTTCACCAGCAGTAATCCAAATGGCAGAAGGAAAATGGATAAACTATTAATCTCTGTGGGGAACTTATAGTGGATCTTTTTTATGTATTTTTGTTGCGTGCTGTATGCAGATCCCATACAGGCTTAAACAAACGCCTTACTAACAAACTCTGATCTTTTGTCTTCAGATTTTATGAGCTTATGACATAATTGTCTATCATACCTGATTCTGTAACTTTCAAAATTAAAATGTATTTTAAAGAACATATCTTGGCGGTGGATAGCATTTTTGCTAAGGACACAGACTTGCAATGGTTCTAAGACCAAAAGCACCTTGGAGAAAATCGCTTCAGTTGATCCAATAATAATGGTGATAATAACCACAATAATAATATTAGAATGTAATCATCATAATATGCAGCAGTGAAGCTCCTGAGATCCTCATACAGCACAGCAGGCAAGTCCACTAAGACCCTGCATCCCATGGGAGGGGAGTCATTCACCATTGTTCTGGCTGCTTGTTGCCATGGCTACTGCAGTTTGCATGCCACTGCAGAGAGCAGCATGGGTACTTGGTCATCGACCGTCCCCTGGTCTATCATGAAGAAAAAAACAGCCGGTCATCCATACGTTAAGCACTGATGTGTGAGCAAAAAGTGGACTTTACCATTTTGTGGGGGGGAAAAAAACTGTTACATCTGTTTCTTTTGGTTCACAGAAGATTAGGGAGCTGGTGGATAAGATTGAAACCCAGAAAAGACAAATCAAGGAAATTGAAGAAAAGGTATTTCCACCCTTTTTTCCCTGATATTGTTAATCTGTCTAATTTAGCATTTTTTAGATGTGTCCTTTTGTAACCAGTAAACAAAACCTTTTTATAGTTATAGTCCTTCATTTTATACCCATATTTTACCCATTCATACTTGTGTGCACCAATGAGCTCAATGGAAATCCACTGATGTTGATGTATACTGTGTTTCTCACGTTAAACGCAAAGGTATTTCTACTTAGAAAGTGCTTAGAGCACTGTGGTGATTTCCACGTCAGCTGACACTAAGCTTTGGCTTCTCCGGGAGCCCGAGCATTAAAGGTGCCAAAAGAAGGAGGGAACGAGTTTTGTGCCCTGTGCCCCTCCTGGGTTGTCATGGTGACGGCAAAGCATAGGGTGCCACACTGCCATAGAGCTCTATTATACTGGGACAGGATGTGCTCTTACTTTGCAGGTCCTGTCATATTTCTACTAATTTCAGCTTTTCTTTCTTCCCCTGTTTATCTGATTCTTGGCCAATACATCATTATTTTCGTAGTTTTTGTTCCTCTTTTTATTTTTTTCTTTAGCCTTCATTCTTTGGCCTTAATGACACAGGGACAGCCACGTATGAGGTAAGCCACCTCCCCGTCTATAGAGCTGTTCATGTACTGTCTGCCTATTCTCAGAGTTGGAGAATTAAGGTCCAGGGAGTACAAATCCAGACCAAGATTTTGTATCAACCAACCAGTTGAGTATGAAACGTCAAAGTCATAGAGTACTGAACTGGTTGGTTGAAACAAAATCTTGGTCTGGATTTGTACTCTCTGGACCTGTAATCACCTCTACCTATACTTAATAGTAATCTTTACTTATGTTCTAAAATGCATGCTGTATATAATTTTTACCCAGACTACTCAGCAGTTTGCTGGCTTCATTAAACTGTACATATGTGGTGAAACATGAAGTCGCATACAAAGATGACAGAACATCCTAAGCAATTTGGTTTGCATGTTTTTTTTCCTTTCCTGGGGCAGCTTAACTTGAGCCGATTTTTTTTACTTTTTTCTGAGCACTGCTGAATGCAAGACATGCCTTTAATCCACAGAAGCCTCTGCATTCTCTCACGCTGCTTAAAAAAGCACGTTCTTTCTGTTTTGTAAGCACTGACATTTGCTCAGTAGGTGGACATGGAAGTGGGTTTGACTGGCAGCCGGTGTAGGGTGTGCCCCAGCCCTGTGCCCTGTGCTTTCTGGGATACATTCCAGGCTGACTGGTCTGCTGTACAGCCTAAGCAGTTATGGGACATGGATGAAAAGAGAATTGCTGAATAGACCTGCATTAGTGGCCAAAACTGTGGAAACACCTTGCATTTTTGGCATTACTACACTAATATTGGCAGTAATGTTTATAAACAATAAAAGAATGTAAAAAAATCATATATTGGATGATTAAATGCAGCAAGTAGCTGGAGTAACTGGAATAAATCTGTAAAAATCAAGTGTTCCCACAATTTTGGCCACTAGTGTAAACAGAGAGGGGTATAAAATGGCCCTGCAAGAAAGTAAAACTGGGCCCTGACCCCCCCCCCCCCGCTTCTCCCCCCCCCCCCAGGAGCTGAAGTGTTCCCCAGGAGTGTGCAAACCCAGAAGCTCATGCAATCCACTGCATTGGGGAAGACAGTGTTGTGCACTCACACGTCTCCCTGCTGTCTCCTGATTTCCTGTTTCTCTCCCCTCCCCAATCTCCTAATGAAGATTATTTATAGTTTGACAAATTCTTCTTTGGTGAATTTTTATACATACATGCTCTTTGTGAAATAAAAGAATCATTATTGTAGACAAAACGACACCATGACCAACTAACAATGGTATATAAAATATTAGAAAACAAACATTTTAAGGGGGGGAAAAAAGTAATTTTCTATATTTATGAAGTGTCTTTGCCATGAAGTGTCTTCACAATGAAGTAAATTTTGAAGAAAATAAAATAAAGCCAAAACTACGAGGGTAAAAACCCTTAAATATAAACTCCACTACCAGGATGGAAGGAGAATGTAAAACCGAAGTCAGGCTGAGAGAACCTCGGGGCGTCCCGGAGGTAAGCAGAGAAGCCATCGACCTTCTGAGGGCCAGTGTAAAGCCAGCAGCGGTCACGTCCAGTGGTGACGTGCCTGAGACACCCAGGGAGAACATGCAGACCTTGGAGTCCTGCCCCGGAGATGAAGGGCACGTCGATGTGGCTGGGAGGCGTTTTTGGGAAGTATGGAATGGTGTCTCAGACCTCGGATGCTTTCCCTGGAAATGTGAGCCACGTGAGTGGATGAGAACCCAGAGTCTTACCCAGAAGTGTCAACAGGATCAGCTGCTGGCGGTCGGCTGTGTTAGGAAGAGAGCAGGGGCAGTGCTGGGGCCAACTGTGGCTCCCAACCATGCAGAAGAGCAGGAGGCGAGGATCCTGATGGACAGGGTGGCTGATGGTCACACCAAAGAAGTGGTGGAACCCCACTCCGATGTGGTCCATTCGGGCCAGCAAATGGGAGAGCAAGCAAAGAGGCTTCAGACCTGCATGGAAAACTGGAAAAATGTGCTAGATGCCACCACAGATGACTTTGGGGAGGAGAACATTGTGCTGGAGGAGGTTTCCCAGGAGATAAAGGAGATGGAGACAACACTTTGCCAAAACATGACTGGAGACAAAAATATTCAGAGAGAATGGAAGGAGATGGTACCTCAAAAGAGCACCACCGATGGTGACGAGTCAGCTGTGCAGGTAGGAACTCGCGTGATAACAGAACCAATGTGTGTTATCTGTGAAGGCCTATGTGTGTTATCTGTGAAGGCCAGACGTGTCCTTTATCAAGTCTATTAAAGGTATGTGCAGAGATCAGCTACATGCCTGAAACTGAAGGTCAAAAAGAGGAACAGAGGAACTATTTAAATGGGACATGGCAGGTGTGTGAAGTCTCCAGGCATGCAGCCAGTGATGAGGCCCTGGGCCGCTATGAATTGTGTAGGAGTTCCAGGGCCAGCTGTCCAACAGAGCCACTGGGCTTAGTGGAGGCTTTGGTGCAGCTGCAGTACCAGCCATTCGGCCAGGAGCAACTTATGAATGACATAGATAAGGGGATGCTGGCCACACCCAATCTGGAGCAGGCCACCAGGCACTGCTGTGAAGACAGATGCTCCATAATGGGGGGCCGTGAGAGGTAGACGAGGGTCAGAAGCACTCAGGGCTGTGGTGTCATGGCCCAGGTGGGCCTCAGAATGGCAGCGGGAAATCCAGGCTAACAGCCAACACCTCTGATCCCCAAGCCAAGGACACAGAGCCAACTGGCTTCTTGTCAGACCTTAGTGTGGTCAGTGAGGACAAGGAGGACACTTGTATGCAGGAGACACGGGATCTGGATGCTCAGCTGTGGGGGGGGGGGAACAGCAGAGCTGCATGCATGTGATGAAGGAGAGCGACAGGTGGGGGATGGGTGTCAGCTGCTGGGGGAGGAGGGGTGGGAGGGGGGGCCAGCAGGCAGCATCCCAGCCCAGAGGAGCCCAGCCCACGGGGCTGCTCTGTCATGGCAGTCCCAGAGTTCCCAGAAATCCCTGGTCCTTGACAAAGAACTGGCCGCTGCCAAGGAAGAAAAAACCCAAAGGAGGCAGCAGCAGGAGCCCCCCGCCCTGTGGAGCCCCCCACCCTGCGGAGCCCCCCGCAGAACTTACAGGAGGGGTGTGGCGTTAACCGCTCACACATCCGCTGGGAGTAACATCACTATCACTATCGGTTCACTAGTATCAAACCTGGCTGACGCCCATGACATAAGCAAGCAAGTTACACAAACTGAATAAACGTGCCACAGAATGCACTTGATTTTGTTCATGTGTTTTAACCAGGGCAGCATGTAGTGTGATGATTAAGGTTAAGGATCCGTAACCATGGCAGCTTTCTGCCCCCTGAGGACCCTGAGGTCATACCCAATCTTCAGGAAAATGGCCAGTTCTTTAAATGAGTAAGAACTCTAATTTTCTCTGATAAAGCCATTAACTGTAAATTGCTGCATATGACACGTTGACTTGAATCTGATTCCAGCATTGCCTTGTAAGTTATGCTGGGAGAATAGAGGGGGTATTAGGAGACTGTAATTCTCTTTGTGGTGAGAAGTGTCTCGGGGAACTGGAGAGGTTTCATTACCCGTCTGATCCTCCCATAGTGACTGAGCAGCTCCTCTTTCTCCTGAATAATTGAGAAATGCAGGGGGCCGCTTGGCTGTGCGCTAGGCCAGAGCCTCCCACCCAAGTGTCTCTGCGGGCATGTCGGGGGGGTGGGGGGCTACTGACATTTAGGTGTCACCATGGGGCCCTCAGAGGACCCAGGGAGCAGAAAAAGAGAGACGCGTAGATGAAGGTACAGGAGGGAGAAGCTGGAGAACCAAGACCAGGAGGGACAGCAGGACGTGGAGTGTGTGTGTGTGTGTGTGTGTGTGTGTGTGTGTGTGTGTGTGTGTCGCCTGGTGGCACCCTGAGCTGCAGAAGAGGCGTTGTTGATTGTCACAGCCTGGTCATTTCAGGATCTGGAGCTGCCCTGCAGGGAGAGGGGAATTTCACCCCCGGAGGAACTTGAAACGGAGGTGACACCGGAACTACAGGTCCTGTTCCAGCGGGTCAAGGTTCTGGAACATAGCCTTGGGGACAATGTCAACAGCTTCATGGCGTCCAAGGAGGCCCTCAAGAACCGGTACGTTGCTGCTGATTAACAGAATAGCCTACGGAGTAACTGTTTCTGTGTATAAACACCTAGAAGTAGTATTGTGAGTCAGCTATTGCTGAAGGCAGCTAAACTATTGTTATCTAACTGTACCGTGGTTTGTTTACTGAAATGAGTGGCCTACAGTTAGCTGACATCTGCACTTTTAAGTGGCTTATTGTTAGCCACAGAGTTGTATTTCCTGAAAATATTAGCAGTGCTCTCAGTTGTGTATTCAGAGACATTTGGCTTATTATTGTCTAAAATGATCTTTGTTTATGCTCACATATTAGATGACAAATAGTTAGAAAACTTTTTTTATGTAGAATTTGAATTTCGATGATTTTAGTTCCTGAAGGGGGTTCGTTTCCGAATCTAGCCGGTCCATGAAGCATATCAGTAACACGTCGTGCTGTTTCCTGGCTTATATTAGCTTGATAGCTGTCAGAGAGTAAGATTCTGAGTGGAGCTGACCTGGAGCTCATACAGTACATGTGTGACAGGATCAGAGAGCTGGGGGCATCCGAGCGGAAGCTGCTGGTGAGGATGGGGGACCTGATGGAGCAGGTTGCAGCCCCGAGTGCTGCGGTGTCCCGGCAGAGACAGGAGGAGAGGCTCGGCATGCTGAGGGAGGACGTGCAGAGTTTGGTAAGGAGCCTCCCGCCCAAGAAGGCAGCTAATCCCCGAGCTTTCAGTGTCACGGCCTACAGAGCTGTACTCCGCTGCAGGCCTTCGGGTGTGTAAGTCAGAGGTATGTGACTGAATAAAAAAGCTTTGCTTCATGTGATCCTGGTAAACAAACAAACAAATAAGGAAGGGAGTTGTCGTTATTTTTGTGGGGAATACAGAGCATTTCAAAATGGCTGCTGATGGTCACGGCTGGCTCTGCCTTGTCAGACGCCTTAGCTTTACTTGGGAGGAAAAGCGATGATCATTTCACTTCCTCCACCATGCAGGTAATCCAGGGGCCCTAGGCAGCTGCGCACTCTGCCTGTAGCTCGAGCCGGTCCTGCTGAAGGCGAAGGCGTTACGGTGCGTAGGGAGCGTGTGACCTGAGCCGCTTCTCCTTCCAGAGGACGGAGAAGGAGAGGAGCGAGAGGGTGTGGAAGGAGCGGCTGAGGCGATGTCAGGAGCAGCTGAGAACCAAGGAGGAGGAGATGAAGATGCAGAGCGACTACTTTGAGCACTTCAAGCTGAAGCAGCAGCGGAAGCTGCGCCTGGCCCGGGAGTACGAGCACGCCCTCCGGAGGCGGGTGTACGAACTGGAGAGGGAGGCCGTGGACCTGACGGCCACGGCCGCGCTGCTGCGTGCCGAGCTGGTGCGGCGGCCGAGTGGGGAGCCGCCTGAGCAGGAAGGCTGGGAGGAGGAGAGGGACAAGCTAAACGTGTTGATCAGCGGCCTGCAGGAGGACCTGCGGGAGCTGCTGGGGTGCGAGGAGGCGGGCCAGGAGGAGCGGCGTGCGCTGCTGGAGCGTCTGCAGGCCGCCGAGGATAACGGGGAGTTCCTGTCTCACCGGCTGGAGGACCTGCGCTCCCGCATCCAGCAGCTGCGGCTGTCAGAGGAGCGGCTGCAGGCGGAGCTGGAGGAGCTGGCTGAGGAGAACGGGCAGCTCCAGATCCGGGCCCGTAGGGGGCGCCAGACGCTGCCTGGGATAGAGAATGGACTCCAGGAAGCCATCCTAAGGGTTGGTAATAATGAGGTGAGGACTGAAACCGCCGCCTTATCTCTCACTCAGTGTGGAATAAGTGTGATTTTATAATTCAAGCAGGCATGGAGCTTAGCCCCGCAGCTAATGGATACACTGTCAGCCTCACATAGGCAAAGCACTTCAGAGTGACAGACAGCCACCTAGCAGGTGCAGGATGGCTCCGCAAGAGGGAGAGAGAGCAGCAGCATATGGAAAAGGATTATGGGTGGCCGATTCAGTGCTAAACCGCGAGTGCGCTCTGATGGATATAATCCCCTGAATCGCAGATGTTCAAAGTCCAGCACTCCTAGGCCTGTCGATTTTAATTAGCCGTGGGAGACCTCATTAATAAGGCAAGGGGTACCAGGTCTGACTGCTTCTCATGGACAGTCCTCTGGGTTAATGTTTTGTGGTGGGGGGAGGGGAATGTTGGTTATGTGGCAGAATGATTAGCTTGGCTTGTATAAGCATTGTCTCACATTTCCACGTTGTCGTCTCAGACTGCTGACATCACTGCTATTGAAAAGCTGCTGCAGCTGAAGTGGGAAGCTGCCCTGGACCCGGCTAGAACTAAAGGCGCCCAAACCCCATCCATGACGCAGTGCATCCAGGAGGCCATCGTGGTTTCCAGTGTGTATAAGCTAAACCATACGTTTCTCTTCCTTTCCAAGAGCTTATAACCCTTGTGAAGTTTATAGGTCTCAAAGCTCCAATAAGACATTGCACTGCAGTGCATATCTCCAGTTAGAAGATGCATGGGGATATTATTGTGTTTTATATTATATATAAATATATATATTATATGTGATTTATTCCCTGAAGATTGGCTCATTCTATTTGTGATTGGTTTTGACAGAACTGATCCCTGAGATGTCCAGGTCTCAGTCCGGCTCTCATGAGGGATTCTTAGAGATATCCTTCCTCCCGCTGCTGGAGACCAACTCCTTAAGCTTGGTGGAGATCATGCAGAACCTCCGCTGCGGGGGGGAGGAGCAGGTAGTGATCCACTGTCACCAGAGGGCTGTGCATGTCAGATCCTTGCTGGCTAACTGCTGGGGTTGGAATACAGTAATGTTTAAACTGAGAACGTAGTGAAATATATTAGTAATTAGTGCACTAGAAGTTAAGGTTTTTTTTTTTTTACACCTATGGGTGTAAAAACTACATTAAACTATCCTGTGGTTTGTCAGGTCCACCAAAATATGGAACAGCTGGAGTCACTTAAGAGGGTGTTGGTGTCGCGGCCAGGGGTGGTCGATCACTCCCAGAATGAAGAGGGTGGTATTTCCTTGCATAAAGAGGTGATGGCCGTTCAATTTCCACCAGACCTTGTGAATCTGTTTGGGAGCCAACTCCAGAATTCTAACATCATATCACTGGTCTCTAAAACTATGGACGTGGATTGTAATTCTGTGGACAATGATCCACCTGCCACGGAGCTCTCCTGTAGTTCATACACCTGTGACAGGTTCAAGCCCACAAATGAGGAAATAAAGTTACTAAATGAAGCTGTGCATCTGCAATCTGAGATAGGGAGTCTCTCTAACAGCAAAAAAGAGCCGGAGTCACTTGTGCACGGCAAGGAGGAGGCCGTGCAGAGGCTGTCAGAGGAGAATGCTCAGTTACAACGCAATGGGACAGGCAGCTGCTACAGCCAAGGGTCCTATGAGGACCCAGTGATACTGAGCTGTGAGAAGGATGAGCTGCACCTGGAAACACTGAAGAACAACTGGAGGCAGGAAAATAAGGTTCTTGGCCGGCGCAACGAAGAACTTCTGGGACAGCTAGCCCAGCTGGAAGGTGAGCACGAGCGGGAACTGGCCCAGCTGAGGCTGCAGGTGACCATGCTGGAGAAGGAGGTAGCTTGTTTGGAGGAGGAAAACAAGGAACACTGCTGTGCAGCAGAGGAGGACCGGAAAGCCATCAAGGAGCTGCAGGACGCTCTGCGGATGAGAAGCGAAGAGCTGGGAACCTCGCGGCAGAAACAGGAGGAGGACATGGCTCTTATTGCTGAGCTCCGGGAAACCCAACGCAAGAAGACAGAGCAATCTGTGCTCCTGGAGGATGTGACAAGCCATATCTCCTACGATGCTTCTGCAGGAACCTGGAAAGAGCCTCAGGTGGAGGAGAGCAAAGAAATACAGAAGGAGCAGCAGAAGGTCCTCAGGATGAGCTCAGACGCACAGACACTCAGGAATGGAGGGAGCCAAGAGGTGACTTCCCCTAGGAGCGACATCAGCATCTTGTCCTTGTTTAGGAGCACCTCAGTAGAGGGCAAGAACCTAAAAGAGGAGGGGCCACCTGACGCTGGCATGACTACAGATGGAATTCAGCAGAACCCAGAGCTCAAAGACCGTCTAGGAACCAACAAGGGTGTGAAGCAGAGTGTACAGAAAACAAGAGTAGTATTCAGATTATCTAGAGAGCCTCAGAAGCTACTGCAGTGCACACCAACGAGGGAAAGGGATGTGTCTCCTCAAAACGACAAAGTTACACAACAAAGCCACACAACTATCTACTCATACAAAACAGTCAACCTTGGAACAACCTTGCAGGTAATGATAATCTTGTACAGAATGAGGACAACATGTATAATATAAATGGGATAATATAAATATAGGACAATTAATATTCTCATGGTGGTAGCTATTAATTTTACATTTTTATTGTGGAGCTTGTCTTTAAAGATTTACTGAAATATCTGCATTGTCAGGAAGGGCCTGATGTTGCAGAGGAGCTGAACGGTGTGAGGAAGGAGCTGGCAGCCACTGCAGCAGACCTACAGCGATCTCAAGAATACCTGGATAGGGCTAAAAGTGAGGTACAGTACGCAGCCATTAGTCTCCAGTGACCATGATATTCCGGCATGGAGGATAGATTTTACTGACCATGATCCCAATGAAAACTATGTGTAATGAAGAAAGAGCAGGACAATGTCTTCAATTGGCCATGTTAGATTGTCTGCAGTGGTCTCCCTGCAAGCTAGAATTAAAGATGATACAGTGGGCAAATTGGTATTACCTTAAGTATCATTTGTCTTGTTAGGCCCAGAAGTGGTACCGGGAGTTAGGCCTGGTGGAATCCAGGAGAGAGGAAGCAGAGAAGAAGGCCTCCCAGGCTCTGAATGAACTGAGGAGGGTTAAAGTCTGCCTCAAGGAGTCAGAGGGGATGAAGAAGGAAAACAGTGAACTGAAAGACGAGGTTCTGCACTGCTGCGTTGACAATTATGAATCAGTGTTAAAATGCTTGTTAAAGTCCTTATTTACAAGAGATTTGAATGTCTGTCATTTTTTCTGTAGAGGTTGAGAACTGCATTTATTGACGGCCCAATGATGACTTTAGTGACCTTGTCGCAGGGGCTTTGCTAGAGATTTTGGGCCCCATGAAAGCATATCATATTAGGCCCCCCAGTCCAAACCAATCCAGTTATTTTCCTAATTTTTTAGGGCCCCTGTCACTCAGGGGCCCTTGGAATCGTCCTAGCTTTCCTCCCCCTTACGGCGCCCCTGCCTTGTCGGACATGTTACCTCTGATTGTTTCAAAAATGTATGGTGAACTGCCGGCCTCCTAATTGGACCTACATTGTGTTTCAGGTAGAAGAACTAAGGAGACAAATGACACACCTGGAGAAGGAGCACATGAATGCTGTCTCTATGAGCACCCGGCTGGAGGAGAAGCTGGTCTCTTTGCTGACCTGCCTCGATGCCAAGGTTGGTCCATGTTCCAAGATGCTGACTTTTAGACCTCATTTCACCTAAGCAATTGCCCAGTTGTGCTCATAATTTCCGCAATTAGGTGTTCTTGTATCTCTGTAGGTATTCCAATTATGGTAATGCTACTATCTTATTTTATCTATTTACACGTTCTTTCTGATTTATACAGTGTGGCACTGAAGATGGACAAAGGGCAAAGAGCTTATCCCTGGAGGGATATGAGAGTGCACTAGAGACCTGGTGTGATACAATCAAGAACCTGAAGGTGCACTATGATGACATCAAATACCAGGTATCCCAACTGGGACACTACAACAGGAGAGCAATTTCTGAGCACATTCTCCAATAATAGTTACCAGTTGAGTTCTGGGTTTTTATCATTAATTGTATAATCCATTTCTCTGCCATAACAAGTAGGGTCATGGTGTCTTTTAGTCTTATCATTTACGTCTTTTTTCTCAGTCTTAAGTTTTTTTTTAAAACACATAAATAAAATCATGTGATGAGTTAATATAACAAGTACATGGTACAATCGATGACCATTATGAACTAATAGGCTTTATCTTCTTTTGTAGTTTGAGGAGCTCCGTAAGAAGAAGACCCAGTGTGACCTTGACATGGCTCCTCTGAAGGTGACTGATATGGGAACCAGTAGATCCGGCTCGAACACTCTCAAGGAAGTGTACCTAATACAATGGAGAAGTTCATAGGATTTTTTACAATTGGAGATATTTATGTTTTTTTATATATATGTTTGCTGGACTGATTATAATTCTTTGCTCATTATAATAATGATGGTGATTATGATGAGAGTGAGAACGACGATACTGACTGGCGATGAGAATGAGGGTGACGAGGATCGGCTTGTGTTTCTGCCCTCTGTGCCAGGCCAGGCTGGCCTGCGTGGTGCAGAAGTGCCGAGAGAGGAACAGCCTGATCGTCCAGCTGGTTCGTGCCCGGCGCAGGTGCGGCTGCATCCCCCAGCCCCTGATGCAGGAGGCCGAGGACCTGGTCAACGACACGGCGCTGCTGGAGTACTCCAGCGCCTTCGGGCCCACGGCGGCTGCGGTGCAGGTGGGCCGCTTCTCAGCACGGGGACCTGCACGGGTGACATACGGTTACATATAGTCGTCCAGCCTGGCACCTGCAACACCATTACCACAAAGAAAATGTATACAGGCATCAGATACACATACTCACAACCACATGCACCCTATTAATAGGACTCAAAACCTATTAATAGGGCATTACAGTCCATGTGTGTAACAATGTAACAATTTCTCCTTGCTCAGTGGTTTGAAAACATTCCCAAATCCTGTCAAAGGATGCATTGTTTTCAGGATTATTTTGTTTTTTAGAGTGTGCTGTTTTGCAAAGGGAGGTGCAAAAATAACCTACATTTGTCTCCATAATTTTACTAATGACCTCTTAAAATGGCTCTTTCCTTGTGTTCTGCTGGATTATTTCTGACTCAGGATAATCTCAGAGAATCGCTGGGGGCAGGAAGAACAGACAGTGCAGAAGGCAAGTGTGTGTTCCTCTTAGAGAAAGGGATGTAAATCTTCTCATCCCCAGCATGTTTGGCACTCCACTGGGCTGTTTTACCGTGGTGCTAACTGTTATGGTGTCTGGCTTATCCAGCTGTTTTCCGTAACCCCACTAGCATTATGGGTAATAAAGCCTGCTTAACACTGCTGGCACTATGACCATTGGAGCCTGTTTTACCCACCCTAGTATAATAGGTAACAAAGCCTGTTTAACCTCATTAGCACTATGATAAAACGTCTGCTTGTCTTGGTGTTCCATGTATGCTTTTTGTGCAGCAGATCTTTGGTCTAGCGCTCATGGAAGCCTGATGGAAAAGGCCACACCCCTCAGCTACAGACTGTGTGTGGCCAAGACTGACTACCGTCCCAGTCCTGATATGCCACAGACAGCACTGCCCATAGTGAGTAATGTCCCAAACATACCTGTGCTTTCATACTTGTGAAATTAGGTATTTTCATTATATTAGTCTCTTTAAAGAAGGTTTTTATAAGGCCAGGGTCTACTACCCAGACCTGTAGACTTAGTCAACCCTTGATATTGGATTAATATAATTACTGTAATATACTTTGTAAGTAACTCGGGGAAAGCCACATAAGTACAGATATGCATTGACTGGTGTCCATGTTTCCTCCCGGAAGTGAGGACATGTGTCAATCAGGATGTATCTCGATCGTTATAGAGGAGAAGTCACATATACTGTATAATGTAAGATACATTGTCATACTCAATTAAGTAAACTTCTATAGTGGCAGTGCAATTGGTTTATTTAGGTTCTTGCCACATGCTGTACACGTGCTAAAATACACCCACTAACATCCACTACGTCTGCTGTAGACGTCTCTCGATTAATCATATTAAGGGTCTTATGGGAGTATGATCGATTGTTACTCAACAGGGCGCAAGTTGATTGATGACTGTATAAATAAACGTCACCAAAAACATTCTTCATGATTGTAAGTTTAAATTCTGAGTGAGTTCATTTTATTTGTTTTAGCTTCCCCTCTCTGCTGGGGAAGAAGTGCAGGTTGCTGGCGTCCCAGACGGGCGAGGGCTGTGCCGTGCTGAGGTGAGGGGAGAGCCCGGTTTGGTTCCTGCGTGTTTCCTAGAGGAGAAAGACGCCAGTAGGCAATCGCCCCCCCCAGGCAGCGATCCTGCAGGGTGCCCGGCGAGGCTGACGGGTCCTGAAAAGATCCTGGAAGTCCACCGTCAGCTGCAGCGGCTCCATCGCAGTAATTACCAGGTGCCAGTTCTCGCTCTGCTAAATATATTTATTTCTCAGGCCTTGCACGTCTACTTTGCAAATAAACCTCAGTCTTCAAAGACAACCCTTAAATACCCTCTAATCTCTAGCAAGAAATCAACATTGTTTCTGAACATCAGTAAATTACTGAAAATGGCATATACAAATATGTATTATATGTTTAGAGATCCAGGAAAACAGTGGCATACATCTTTGCTACAAGCTAAGCAGGTCAACCTCTTTTTGTAGTATGATGACTTGGAGGCCATCTGGCCCTAAACACTATGACAGGAGGATGTGACTGATGACTTTGGTCTGAGGTCACATGATCAAATGTTACAAGTAATTTAATTTCAGGCTGTCATCAGTTTTGTGAATGATGGCTTCGCATTTAGTGCATGGTTGAATTAAATTTATAGAGATGTTAATTTTTGCCACTTCTCCTAACAGATCCTTCCCCTGGCTGAATGCAATTCCAAACCGGAATTAGGTCACTTTTCTGCCTCTGCCCAATTTCAATCCCAGCATGCCTTGTGTGGCCTGTCCGAGGCCTCTGGAGCAGCAAGAAGCACCCCTCCTTTTCACAGGAAAGGGGAGGTGAGGAGGGGGGAGCGGCAGGAACCCCAGCAGGAAAGGAGGAGTGACTTTGCCGAGCCAGTCGGGACAGCTGCAAAGGACGTGCCTGTGATGCTTAACAATGTGAGACCCCCAGGGGGCGACGTCTGCAGAGCCGCCGCTGAAGACCGTCTGCCTGACGGAGCCAACATGGCTGCCACTCCCAACGCTCTATCTCCTGAAGACAGACCCCTCAGAGCTAAGCTAGGTAAGAGTCTATTTAATCCTCCACTCACTCAAGTCATTTGTCAAAAGCACACATCACCTGAGATAAAACTGCATCCTAAGGTAACAGCACTCTAAATCCATGCTGGGAAATGTTTACAGCTCTCAAAATTGCACTGAGCTGCCACATTAATATGCATGACTTAAAAGCTTTTAAATCTTCTAAAGCTCTCCCTGCAGTAGCAGACAGATATTACTGCTATGGGGCTTTGGGTTTTTAGTTTGACTGTGGTTAAGGGTTGTCTGGGTCTGTGGACATTTTCTCTCACTGGAATAGCTGGATTGCCCTAGATTTCTGCTCACTGTGGTGTGTCGCTGTGTTTGACCTTCCCCCAAAACCACAAAGATCAGCCTGCCGTCAGACACAGCCAGACATACACACACATTCCCTCTTTCTCCTCCCCCTCCCCCCCCCCGACACACTCACACACAGACACACAAAAACCAAAGAAGATTATTACCTTCCTTGTAATATGTCATTCTTTGAACAACCTATTTCCACTGCAGTTTTAAATAGCAGTTTTTGGTGTCTGTAAGGAATGGGATTCTGTGCTTTGTTACCTTTGTTACCGTCAGTATTTATTCTAACCATGTTTAATTATATCAGCGAGGCCTGACTCTGCAATGTCTGTGATTGAATAAACTAAGCTAATGGTTAGGTGAGAAAATAGCTTTGAATGTCTTCATTTTGTCAGTAGCTAAGTAGTCTGTGATTAAATCCATTTGCATTGTGGGTATTGTAGAGGGGAGGGTGCCAAAAATCACTACCTTCATCTGTAACTATGACCATTCATTCAGATAAAGTAACTCCTATAATTTCCTAAAAACCTAAAATCATTTGTGATTGAATGGATCAGTAGCTTCAGCCTTCAACAGCATAGTAACACTGCAGCGTAAATCATCTTTATAAAATCAGTTCAGGATGTGCTATCAGTGTTGTAATACAGTATCACATACATGACAATGACATTGTAACACAGCAGTTTACGGGCTAATTATACACGTGCAGCAGGAGTGGATTTATGACGGGACAGCAGTTTTCGTTCGGTATTGCACTTCGGCTCTCTTTATCAGAACTCACCCCACATGCACTGCACTGCAGAACAGCTACAGGTCNCAGAGCCCTGCCTCTCCGGCTCTCTTTATCAGAACTCACCCCACATGCACTGCACTGCAGAACAGCTACAGGTCACGCAGAGCCCTCCCTCTCCGGGTCTCTCTATCAGAACTCACCCCACATGCACTGCACTGCAGAACAGCTACAGGTTGCGCAGAGCCCTGCCTCTCCGGCTCTTTATCAGAACTCACCCCACATGCACTGCACTGC